TTTTTAATTTAACGCCACCGGGTGGCTTCACGAACAAAACCATTCTTGCAGCAAAATAATTGTAACGTTAAAAAATAATTATAATAAATAATAAATAATAATAAATAATTATTATAGTAATTATATAAAAAAAATTAAAAAAAAAGTTAAGCCAACCAGGATCTTATTTTAATCAGATTGCAATGTGGGCACAACATGCATGAATTGGTAAAAGAAGAAACTCAAAATGGAGGTAACAACGTAAAGGCATCAAATATAAGTCATGAACTCAAAATGAGTCTCATTCACCACAAATAGTTTTGAATTGAACTAAGCATGACCAGGTTTCCAGCTCAAAATGATATATCTGCCATTCAAATTGTTGTGAGAGATAAAGATGGATATATTCCAATTAAACACATCAACTGTGTTTGGCAAAATATATTTCTGCAAATCAATACAATTATTATTATTATTTTGTTTCCTTCATATTGACTAAAATATATTTCAATATTTAATATTTGTACAATAAAACTCCTCGATGTAAACTAGGTCAGTTAATGAATAATTACGATGACACACCCATTTCAGAACCCATTTTAATTGACATAATTCTATTTTCATAGCCGAGACTGTCATAATGGTCTATGAAAGTTGTCTTATTGGCTTTTGCATGCAAGAAAACGTATAAAAACGTATCAAAATTGTCAAAATCGGGTCATTGTGACCAATTTCATGAATTTGACCATTCACGCAAAGTGTGTACCCCTTTCCACATTTCCGGTTATTGTGACGTAACTCTACTCGTCAAGATGAGTAAATGGATGCATCTCGAAAGGATTGGACAATTTTTGATGATGGGCGTTTTGGGCCAAAAAAATATTTTTAATTTTGACATTACCCCTGGCGTGAAACCTTACTATATAAGGACTTGATTTAGCATAGATGTCTGCTTGTAAGGAAAAATGCCGAAAAAAAAATGTAAGCACGTTTCTACCTTCTGCTGGCTGTCTGTATATGGAGGGGGTAATTTTAAGTTAACGGCTAATAAAATTCGTTCGTCCTTTGCATATGAAGACCACATTACACATAGCACACTTTCCCGGGATTTTTGAGACCGAAATTGTCATCCAACTCAGGAGCCAATCAGCGACGGCATTAAGATGGGTGACAATTTCGATATCATCCTAGTAATATGGTGATTGAATGTGGTAAAACAGATAAAACTCTGGTTTGTGGCTTGACTTGTGCAAAATACTTACACCCGTATTCATGTTCACAATATGCAGCTACCTAAGGTGTGCTATCACACATTGTCAATTGCCATGTATTAAAATTCGGTGATGCATAATAATTTTT